TCCTCCATATTTATCTGAAAAACTGAAGACATCCTGATTTCACTGTCCCCCCCCCCCCCCCAGCTCTGTGTGAAAGACAACACAGGAAAGCAGAGCAAACACGGCTGTTTATGTGCAGCTTAATTGGGCTCCATCTAATTACCGTGTTTGTTCCTGAGCTCCCATTTAGCGGGAGCAGAAATAAAATCGTTGTTTGCGCTCGAACAACATAAATCTGTCGATACAAAAACCATGGGGGGGGGGGGGGGGGTTGTTGTTACACCCCCTTGAACTGATTGCTTTACTCAAGCCTGTTGATGCAAATATTCACTTTTTCATGATTACTGGCTTGTTGCAGCTGAATGCAGTGTGTGTGCGTGCGTGTGCGTGCGTGCGTGTGTGTGCAGCTTCAGCTCTGTGGGCCTCTGCAGCTCATCACACTCCAGCAGCCAACTGCTGATTACACAGCACTTGTTTTGTTCTCCGTTCTGCACAGCAGCGGGTCGAGCTCTTTGTCCGGCGCTCTGCGTCGGCTCGCCGTCTGTCCAGCTGTCCTCGCTCGTCCCCGGGTCGTCTCTCTCTCTGTTTGAAAGCCTGTCCCCCCCCCACCAGATGATGATGTTATAATAAAGAGGTGATCAGTTCTGTTCCACCTCCTGTCTCTGGGGTTTTGGGATGCAGAGGTGGTTCAGCGTCAGGTGAACGTTGGCGAGCCGTGACTGATCGTCTCTGAGGAGCTGAAGACGGTCACGTTGTCTGAAAGATGATTTCTCAGGAGTTTTTCATTTGTTTGTTCTTTTTTTAAAAAAGCACTGAAGAGCCAGATGACTTGAGGTCTGATCGTGGAGCTAACAGTTGGGGATGACTCTCGGCTACTACCACCTCAGATTTTAGCTCCATACGTGTAAAAGTGACAGAGTTGTAGTCGTTTTTGTGTTTGGTAATGTTGATTAGCTGTGGCAGCCATCTTGACTTGGACTGAGTTCAGACAATAATCAGTTGTAGACTCGCATCCAATAATTACTTTCCGAGAGTTTCATTAATGTTAATCCAGAGGTTTATAAGATATTTTACTAACAGACAAAACGGGACGACTATCAATTATTGCTAAAGTAGTTTAAAGCAAAGATCTTGGCTGATTGAGCTGCACTTGCTGTGAATGACACCACACCAAAATTTAGCACAATAGCTATGAATCGACCTAAATATCTCCATTTTTATGTTTAAGGTCCCATGGCTGTGGCGGCCATCTTGAATTGGGAAGGCTCCAAAAGTTAATCAGTTTACAGAAGCTCATTTAATGATTACTTCCTGAGAGTGTTACTAAAATCTGTCCAGTTCTTGAGATATTTTGCTAACAGGCAGATAAATAAATGCGCACAGACACATGAGCAATTACATCCCCCCC